CAGTCAGTCAGTCAGCCAGTCATTCAGTCAGTCAGCCAGTCAGTCAGTCAGTCAGTCAGCCAGCCAGTCAGTCAGTCAGCCAGTCATTCAGTCAGCCAGTCAGTCAGTCAGTCAGTCAGTCAGTCAGCCAGCCAGTCATTCAGTCATTCAGTCAGTCAGACAGTCAGCCAGCCATACGATCAGTCAATCACTCAATCAATCACTAAACCATCGTATCAGGATCACGCTTGATGAAATAAAATATTTCAGTAGCTGCCTTCTTATGCAAGTCACAAAATAAATTGATTACTAACAAACTCGACCTTGTCAAGGTTCCAAAGATAATTGTTTGTACTAAAGAACAAAGCTGAACATTTTCAGAAATTATAATACAGTAGATCTTTGGGGTCGACTCGTACACTTTTAGTCCTCACCCCACCCTTTCTATTTCAAGACCTCTACACTGTTATGTATTTAGTAATTTGACCTTGATGTAATCCAGCCAGTGAGTGTTCTCTAGGTTTGTGAGCCAATGAACATCGTCAATTGTTGGATAACAGATGTCTTTAAGTTTACGCAAGCTATTAAAGAAACAAAAGGAGAGAATGCAGTTTTAATGACAATCGAACACAACATGGTTACAACCAAAAATGACATCACTCAGAAATGGTCTCAGGAAGAGTCAAAAATGAAAAAGAAATTTGCTAATTCACCACTGACATACATTACCTTTCTCTCATGACATGAATGTTTGCAATATCCAAGAAAACCAGTTCTGTGTTCTGGTAATTTTCTTGCATCTCATACCCTCCTCCCTTGGCCTGCAATTAATGCCACAATAATTCAGAAGATTTTAAAATTCTTGAAACGCCAAAAATAATAATTAACTAGACGCATATTTGCGTTCACTCGTGCTTTCTGTTGGAAAGAAACTTTGAAAACGCTATATATCTTTTAGTGTGGGCCCACCGCAAACGCTGTGGGCATATCTTGTATCCGTTTTAAGCGTATTATACACAGTATCTGTGCTGATTTTATACCGCAAAAACTTCCCCTCTTCTGCCATTACACCATGACATGTGCTCATCAGTCAACAAGTCGCACATGCGTCAGAGTCAAAATGTCGCATTTGCATGTTAAGGAATTGACTGCAATTTACCCCTGAACAAAAAACAAAACAAAAACAAAAAAAAACAAAAAGAAATCCAAGCCGGAATTTCAACTCGGGCATTTCCTTTGGAAAGCCCACGTTAAAAAAAAACTTGTGGCGTGTACCAGGCTTAGTGAGTGAAAATGAACAAATGACCCAGTTGGAAAAAAAGTGAGAAGGAGAAAAAGGGTCTTGAGGAGTAACCTGTTCCCCATTCACTTTTCTCTTGCTTGGCCTGCTATTTTACCCTTCCCCACAAACTGACTGTATGGAATCGGCTACAATACTTGCAAAACTTGAAATATGTTCAAAATACCTGATTTGCCAGAGCATTAATCTTGGGCCTTGCATCCATGATGATCAGTTTATGTCCTCTTGCATTAGTTTCTAGGATGGCCTGGTAACAGAACAAAACTGAATAATGACTCCTTTCAGTTGTGTTTCAATTTGGCAAGACATGATCTTAGCAAAAAAGGTTCTGGACTGAGAATCGAGATCCTCCCAAAAATGGGAGATCTTAAAAGCTAAACGCCAACTGAAAACAAATAGCAGACCACAAACTGTGACCCAACAGTTTGCACTCAGTAGTAATGGAAGGTTTACTACTGCAAATATCAATCAAACTGACGTATCTAACCTGAAAGTATTTTTCATCATCTTTGTTTCTGGTTTTTCCAACAAGTCCAGCATTAGGCTGACTGGCTCGAGTAATAGAAGCAGAGTTCTTTGGATGCACCCAAGAGAGTACCTAGCATAATTCAAAATGAAAAAATAATGAAACAAAGAGAAACAAATGGTAAGAATGACAAGATCTACCAAGTCTTTTGTCCTACAGTTGCTCAAAGGAAGTGGGTGCTCAGGTAACTGCAACTTTTATTTCTGCCCTAATTTCGAACAAAATGAACTTGTATGATTTCTAAGGCAAGTTGTATGTTTTTATTTTTTAACTTTAAGGACTACACTATAACTTGGCTATCTTTGAAATGAGATTTAGAGCGATGTATCTATTAGAGAACTCACTGGAATTCTCTCTCTGCTGCGCAATGTAGCAACTTTCTTCAAATCTTCATCGGAAACAGAAGCAGGAACTGCAAACTAAAATGGAGTGTCAAGCATGAGTGATCTGCATGTGCACTAGGAAACAAGGTAAAAATAAATAAATCTGATTCCATCAACACTTTTGCTAGCCACCACAAAAACGAGTTAGCTAATATGTACATGACTAAAACACTGTCCAGACCACACACAAAACCAGACAACATGTGCTTTTAGATGGAGTAAAGTTTTTTTCATCACTGCACTCACAGTCAAAGAAGAAATTTTAATTCCCCTAGCACTTCACTCAAACAACATTAGCAAAGTTGGTTGGATCTAGCAGCAGCACTTTCATTGGCAGCTTTTTGTGCACTGTTTCCAGTTTGAATTGGAATGTGGAGTGGTGGCTTTAAGGAACAGAAATCTAAATGGCTTAGTGGAATTCATGAGCCCTGACTTTTCTCAAGAGACACACAACAAAAGAAAACAAAGAAAAAGTCATACCAGTGCAGGATAGGTATCACACAACTCATACTTCTCATTGATTCTTGTGATTTGCCAACACTCATTAGGTACATTCTGTCACAAAACATAATCAAACAACAACAAACATATGAAACATATGTGTGAACTGCGGTTATGAGACGTATATGAGAACGATCCTTCGCAGTAAAGCACTATTTGAGCAATAGTGAAAATCAGACCTAAAAAAAATTTCAGGCCTGTACGGGATTCGAACCACTGACCTCTGCGATACTAGTGCAGCGCTCTACCAATTGAGCTAACAAGCCAACTGGGAGCAGGCCATCAAATTAATTCGATATAAACCCGTAGATGATAAATCAAACAACAACAAACATATGAAACATATGTGTGAACTGCGGTTATGAGACGTATATGAGAACGATCCTTCGCAGTAAAGCACTATTTGAGCAATAGTGAAAATCAGACCTGAAAAAAATTTCAGGCCTGTACGGGATTCGAACCACTGACCTCTGCGATACTAGTGCAGCGCTCTACCAATTGAGCTAACAAGCCAACTGGGAGCAGGCCATCAAATTAATTCGATATAAACCCGTAGATGATAAATCAAACAACAACAAACATATGAAACATATGTGTGAACTGCGGTTATGAGACGTATATGAGAACGATCCTTCGCAGTAAAGCACTATTTGAGCAATAGTGAAAATCAGACCTGAAAAAAATTTCAGGCCTGTACGGGATTCGAACCACTGACCTCTGCGATACTAGTGCAGCGCTCTACCAATTGAGCTAACAAGCCAACTGGGAGCAGGCCATCAAATTAATTCGATATAAACCCGTAGATGATAAATCAAACAACAACAAACATATGAAACATATGTGTGAACTGCGGTTATGAGACGTATATGAGAACGATCCTTCGCAGTAAAGCACTATTTGAGCAATAGTGAAAATCAGACCTGAAAAAAATTTCAGGCCTGTACGGGATTCGAACCACTGACCTCTGCGATACTAGTGCAGCGCTCTACCAATTGAGCTAACAAGCCAACTGGGAGCAGGCCATCAAATTAATTCGATATAAACCCGTAGATGATAAATCAAACAACAACAAACATATGAAACATATGTGTGAACTGCGGTTATGAGACGTATATGAGAACGATCCTTCGCAGTAAAGCACTATTTGAGCAATAGTGAAAATCAGACCTGAAAAAAATTTCAGGCCTGTACGGGATTCGAACCACTGACCTCTGCGATACTAGTGCAGCGCTCTACCAATTGAGCTAACAAGCCAACTGGGAGCAGGCCATCAAATTAATTCGATATAAACCCGTAGATGATAAATCAAACAACAACAAACATATGAAACATATGTGTGAACTGCGGTTATGAGACGTATATGAGAACGATCCTTCGCAGTAAAGCACTATTTGAGCAATAGTGAAAATCAGACCTGAAAAAAATTTCAGGCCTGTACGGGATTCGAACCACTGACCTCTGCGATACTAGTGCAGCGCTCTACCAATTGAGCTAACAAGCCAACTGGGAGCAGGCCATCAAATTAATTCGATATAAACCCGTAGATGATAAATCAAACAACAACAAACATATGAAACATATGTGTGAACTGCGGTTATGAGACGTATATGAGAACGATCCTTCGCAGTAAAGCACTATTTGAGCAATAGTGAAAATCAGACCTGAAAAAAATTTCAGGCCTGTACGGGATTCGAACCACTGACCTCTGCGATACTAGTGCAGCGCTCTACCAATTGAGCTAACAAGCCAACTGGGAGCAGGCCATCAAATTAATTCGATATAAACCCGTAGATGATAAATCAAACAACAACAAACATATGAAACATATGTGTGAACTGCGGTTATGAGACGTATATGAGAACGATCCTTCGCAGTAAAGCACTATTTGAGCAATAGTGAAAATCAGACCTGAAAAAAATTTCAGGCCTGTACGGGATTCGAACCACTGACCTCTGCGATACTA